GAATTCTTTTTTTATTTCAGAAAAGAATTCAGCCCTGAGTTCCTCTATGACTTTCTGCTGTTGCTTATTTTCTATTGATGCTATTCATACATTTGAGCTGAGCTAGTGTCCTCTAATTCAGCTCTGAGTTCCTCTATGACTTTCTGCTGTTGCTTATTTTCTATTGATGCTATTCATACATTTGAGCTGAGCTAGTGTCCTCTGCACTTGTTCTGGGTAGGCAATGGGTTTCCTCCATATGTTTCTGCATTTGATTCTTTACTGCACATGTTATTAATTCAGGGATTTCTTTTTTCATTTTTAATCTGAGTTCCTCTATACCTTTCTGTAGCTGTTTCTTTATTTCAGAAGCCTTTGATTCATTGCTTTCAGCTGTGTGATTCCCAGTTTGTTCTGTGTTAGTGTCCTCTGCACTTGTTATGGGTGGGCTTAGGTTCTGAGATTGCATTTTGCTACTTCTCGTTGTCATTTTGTGTAGCACTGTCTTCTGACCTTTGTTGTAGATCTTTGTTGCAGATATAGGCTTAGCACCTACTGAAGTTCAGGTGCAGAGCTACAAAGTTTGGATTTATCTAGCTATTCCTGGCTTGGGTCTGGCTGCTGTGCTCAGTTCCTTCTGGTTGCTCCCCTTGGGGGTGAACCTGTTGTGCCCCTCTGTCAAGATGTTCTGCTCCTGGACTAGCTGGGTGGTTCTGTCCCCTATGCTCTGCAGGGATCGTAGCTGCAGGGTTTCACCCAGGCCTTTGTGCCAGACCTAAGCTGAGTCTGGAAGGGACAAGGTGGAGTAGGGAGGAGAGGCAGCTCTCTCACACACTCACTGGGCCTGGGCTAGGACTGGGTCTGCGGGTTCCTGGATTGCGGCAAAAATTCCTACTTGGGCGGGGTGGGGGGTACTATGATATCAGGGGGCGTCCCAAGATGGTAGAAGAGGGCCTCACCCACGCTGCGCCTGTGCTGGGACCAGGGGGTCCCGCTGGCGCATGGTAGCCGGAAGCTCTCCCACACACTCACTGGGCCTGGTCTTGTCATTGAGATTTAAGTAACTTGTTTGTAAATAGCTTGTTCATTTGAATTCTCCAAAAAATTAAGTTTCAGTATTAAATTTGAGAGCATTTGAAGACCAGATGTCACTGAATTTCTGCTTAAGTGTATTTTCATTTTCAGCAAATGTCTTGAAATAAAAATACAGATCACTTAGTAACAAGGTATGTGATTTGTCTGAAATGTTGTTTTGTGTGTCTTAGTAAGTAGTAATGTCTTACCTCTTTTTGAACTGCGCGCCATTTTTGGTGTAGATAAATACTGAGGAACACGTGGATGCAGCTGACAAGGAGGTTATACTGTGGGATCGTAAGATTCCCGAGGACATCCTGAAGGAGATCTCTGGTCCCAAAGAGGTCCCCGCAGAGAGTGTTACTGTCTGGATTGATCCACTTGATGCCACGCAGGAGTATACAGGTAAGAGGTCTAAGAAACTTTCCAGCTAGATTTTAGGACAAGAAATCAAGGGTAGTACAGTATTGGCTGGGACATTTGGACTAGACCAGCTACTTTCAACTTGGTTTTTTTTGGTCTAAGATCCCATTATACACTACTGCCCTAGCTCATTCAGAATCGGCAATTTTCTGATTCTTCAGTAAGGAATATGTTCAGCATCAACAGCATAATAGTTTCAGTTAAGCATCTATTAGTGAGGAAATCTGCATAATTAGAATATAATAGTGCTTGGGGTATTGGGAATGGGTATCTGTATATCTGAGCTTAGGATTCAGAATGCTGGGTGCTACTACTCAGAAGCTGTGTGCAGCAGAGCCGAAGTGCTGCCCTGGTCACCTCTCCCACTCCTTTTCCTTCTTTCTGTCTCTAGAGTCCTTTTCAGGATCCTTTCCCAAACACCATTTTTATCTAGATAGCCCAGTTCCTGCTTTCTCTCTTGTTACCTCTGTCAAAGCTAGCTGTCCGCCTGTTCGTCCCACTGGTGTGCACATCCTGAGTGGGGCCTCTGCTTTATCCCACATATGCCCTGGTGCTCATCAACTCAGCTTGAGCCCAGTAGACAGTCACCGGGCGACTGGAGAGCAGGGAGGACAGCGTTGTGCGTGTCTGATGTCAGCTGAACTTGCGCAGTGGCGCCATTGAGGAGGGGTGGTGAGGCTGAGTGCGCAAGTTCTCGTCTCAAGTGGCCTGCTAACATAGTGATGACAGTACTTACTGAACACGTTTCTTGTACAGGAACTGTTTTAACCAACTAAGTTGATTTTTAAATTTAAACCTAAAATGAAAAATTATGTCTAAAAACCAATAATTACTATTGGTATTATATAGGTGAAGAAACTGAATATAAGTAATTATTCCAGAGAAGAAAATTTTTTCTCTGGAAAAATTACTGTATTACGCTGATGAAAAAGTAATGGGCTGGAAAAATAACACAGTCAACTTGCTGGAACCAGAACTGTTCAGCAGCCCTCTGCACTTGGCCTTCACCCGTAGAGTTTGCTTGAAGAAATGACTGTCTCTTGAACACTGTCTTGTATGTAAACCCTAATGAAGTGACACCGAGTCTTCTGTCCCAGCCTTGTGGACAGTACCTTGACGTTGTGTGTTCTGTCCCGCAGAGGATCTTCGGCAGTACGTCACCACCATGGTGTGTGTGGCAGTCAACGGCAAGCCTGTGCTGGGAGTGATCCATAAGCCGTTCTCTGAATACACAGGTAAGAGAGGGGAGGACCTCTGCGCAGCAGCATTGAGCCCTGATCTGTGACACTGGGCTGCGTGGTGGGCTCTCACCTGTAGCTCAGCGTTGCTGAGGTCTGTCCTCTGCCCTGGGGGTGTGTGCACTAACCCTGCAGTGGACACTGAGGACTGATGGTTGGTACAGGTAATAATGACAGAATGTGGCTTTTCAAAGCCATCTCTCGGGGACAAACACTGTGGAGTAGAATGAGATTCGCAGTCTGTGTGGGTGCTGTTGGGCACAGACTTTCTCAGCACTGTGGTGGGGGGGGGTTCTGTTCTCCATGCTGCTGCTGGTGTGTGGGTTCTGAGGTTGGCTGCTTTCTGTATTGGCCAAATCCGCTGTCATTCTGTGAGCTTGATACTGGGGTGCGTAAGACCAGAGCCCCTTTATTATCAAAGTGGAGGAGACAGAGTCACTGTGAACGTCTCGGGAGGTAGGTGAATCTCTAGGGAGCCTTGGACATCTTTCAGGCCCTTGCCGGCCTCCCGTCGTGCTGCAGTCCTCTCTTCTCGCTTCCTGTGGATGGCAGGGCGCATCAGTGATGTGCTCACTGGAAGGGACAGGATGGGAAGGCCAGTCAGGGAAGCTCATCTGCTTAGGAGCTGTACCCTTGCCAGGGCCAGTGGACTTGGGCTAGTATCACGGTGTCCCTGCTGCACTGCAGTTAGCCAGGAGGCTGTGTTCATCTAGGTAGCAGTAATGGCGTAAAGTATGATTGCAAGCTTGTCGAGATGAGTGATGATGGTAGAAAAGGGAGGGAAGTAGTGTGGACAGCAGTGCGGACAGCCTGAGAATGTTGCACCTTTGCACTGGTAACTCTGTCAACACAGGGTAGAAATTATGACCATTGTGTTCTTTTCTTCTCTGAGACGACGGTGTTCTTGACAGTAACGATGTCCACTCTCTCCTAGTGTAGGAAACAGCCCAGTGACTAACTGTGGTGGATTACGTAAGGTCCTCAAATTCACGTCCACCCCTCTGTTAGTCTCTTAGCCAATGCAAAATACTTAACACCACAGTTTAAAAGAGGAGAGGCTGATGTGGCTTCAGAGGTTCAGCCCCTGGAAGGCTGGCTCCGAGGCATAAATAGGGTGACAGGAAAGCTGCTCCACTGTGGCAGCCAGGAAGCAGAGAGGAGGAGGCCACAAACCGCGACTCACCTTTGGAGTTAGCCCAGTGTCCTGCCCACCCCAGACAGGCCTGGCCTGCAGAGAGCACGTCCAGGGGATTAATGTGCAGATGATGTGACACCCCGTGACCAGGTACTTTCCAGAAGCTGCACACCTGAACGCATGAGGCTGCTGGGAGGCCTTTTAGATTCAAGCATAGTCTCTGTATTTGTTTACTAGGACTGCTATTATTCAAACTCAAGACCTGTCTTAAACAGTAACAGTTCAGTCTGTTCTCCAGTTCTGGGTCCTACACATCATAGTCAAGGTGTTGGCAGAGCCTTGCTTGCCCAGAAGTCTATGGGAGAGAATTCTTCCAAGTGTTCCTGTTTCTTGTTTTGCCAGAGGCCCGCAGTGCTCTCTGATGTTTGAACTCGTCCCTCGGTCTCTGCCTTCCTCCTCACAAGGCATTCTCCCTGTGTGTGCTTGTCTCTGAATCTCTGTTTCTTGTTAGGACAGCAATTATAGTAGGCTAGGGGTCCACCCCATGCCAGTATGACCTTATCTTAACTAACTACATCTACTCTGTTTCTAAGTATTATCAAGTGCTGAGGTTCTGGGAATTAGGACTTCTTCATAGTTTGGGAGAAAGGCATAATTCAGCCTCCAAGAATCAGAGGACTGGAGATAGCTCAGTGGTAGAGAGCTTGCCTAGCATATGCATGATCCTAGGTTTGATCTCCAGCACTGTGAATACCAGACCAAAACTAAACTTCCAGGAAGTTAGGCCAGCTACCTCGAGATGGGACTGTGCTTGATGGGGCCGTAAGCCAACGGTGACGGTCCTTGTAAGAAACAGTGGGCACTCACCTGCATGGACTAAGATAGCGGGAAGTAGGAGCACGCGGAGAGGCGAGGGATAGATCTCCCAGAGCCTCCTTTCCAGGAGGAAAATCCTGCCAAACCTTGTTTTTAGCCTTCTGGCCTTCCCAACTGAGGAAATGCGTTTCCTTCCTTGTAAGCCACTGTGGTGTCGGCCTTGCTGCGGTGGCCCTAAGGAACCCTTTCGCTGGTAGTTCCACTCAGCTGTTACCTGCTCACCCATCCCCGCTGCCTCTGGAGGTGGAGCTGAGCGCCGGAAACAGCCATCTGATCAGGCCTGGGGCTGCAGACCTGTGAGCCCACCTCAGCACTCTGGGAGACTGCGTTAAGATCCTACGTTCAAGCCTTACCCAGGCAGTTTAGGGAGAACTTGTGTCAGAAAAATAAATAAAAATAAAAAAATAAAGGGGCTAGGAGGATAGCTCATTGTGAAGGCTATAAGAAAGAAAAAATACTTAGTTGGGAATAAATGGTGATCCTCCTGTCTCACCTCCCCAGCGCTTGGATTACAGGTGTGCGCCACCGTGCTCAGTCTCAAGGGCTGGCTCAGCGTGTCGGGGGGCAGGGCTGGCGAGGCCTGTGGTGCCATCGAGCCTGGGCCCTGCGCTTGCCTCAGTGGGCACTCAGGCCACCGAGCTGTCTCAGGGGCCTTTAAGTTAATTGTAACCATGCCATTGATGCCAAATTCCCGCTGGTGTCAGACAGGCTGAGCATATATTTAGGTGCTGATTCTGTATTTCAGGATCATCAGTTTGAATGCTAAGTGTTGACAGTTGAATGCTGTGAAAGGCTTATGCCACTGTTTTGGTGTTGGGCCTTAAGATTGGTCATAAAGTTGCTCTATGGCGTACTTTTACGTATTTCCTTTAATCCTTACTGAATGAAATAGGTGCAAGTTAGGCTATTAATTTAGGTTGCTATAGGATATTCTGCAGTAGAGGAGGTGAAGCAAACAGTTTATTTTTTCTCCTCTTCCAGCTGATGTATAAAAGCAGTCCAGGGCCGCCTGCAGGCCAGCCCCTGCGCCCTGCAGCGCCTGCTGCCCTCCGGGCAGGATTGCCATAGTGCACTCTTTTGCGTGCCAGTGGAGAGGAAGAGCCAGGGTGGCTCCCACGGAGGTGCGCATCCCTTCCCACCTCCCACGTGTCGCTTGTCTTGTTGGCTAGGGTGTGGCCAAAGCCAAGTGCCACAGAAGGCTGCCAGGTGGGGTTCTAAGTGGCCACCAGAGGAAAGTTGAAGGGTTCTCTCAGCGCGGAACATGGGACAGTGGATGCTCGAACCCAGCAGCTCAGTACCCTGCACGTGACGTGGCACAGGGGAGAGGGGCAGGTTACTTCTATTAGTACTCCCATTCACGATGAGAAAGACTCAGACATTCAGTGTGTTCCTCCAGGCCCGCCAGCTAAATTAGTGGCTGACGACATTCAGCCCCAGGGATGTTTTTCGGATTGGTGTGTCCCAGCCCTTCCGCAGTACCAGTGCCGCGATGCTGACCCTTTGCAGTGTGTGCAGTAGGGTTTCATTTGAAGCTGTGGGTGGGCGCAGGGCTTAGCAGACCTTTGGTGCAGGAGGGAAAGTGGGCTTAGCGCCTGCTGTCACGATGACCATGTAGCTCCTCAAGTCTGCCCACTCCTCCTCGTACCTTCCAGCTACTTAGGATCTCCAGTTTCTAAGGTGCATCACCATTCACTCTTGCATTCTTACAATACTTTTGAAGGAATATAAAATAATTACAGTGACCTTATATTTAAGAAACTGCTATCTGAAGGTTAAATTCAGAGCTTTGCACTTTGAAACCTTCTTGGTTTCCTGACACTGCCCCTCGCTGCCTCTGTCTGCATCGGCTTGCACTGCGTTGAGCGTCCAAGAGAGTGAGTCTGACTGCAGTGGTCCAGCAGTCGGGGCTGCTCCTGCTCACCTGCAGAGGGGCCGGGCCGGGGTCGGGTCCCAAGGGCTGGACTGTGCTCCCTTCTTCTGTTAGAAGGCGCTCCATGTGTGCTCGTGGAGAGCTCGTCCTCTGCTGTGATTTGCTTTTCAGGCAGAATGGAAAGGGGAAAGGAAGCACAAAGGACCCACCCTACAGATTTTTGTATCAGAAAAACATAGCTCGGACCCCGAAGCCTTATTCCCTGAGTCCTGTGGAGCATATTTAGCTGTAAGCAGAGCTGCTCAAGAGAGGATGGAATTTCAGTAAAGTGGATGGAGGCTCACGTCCTTTGGGTTTGGTTTCCACATCTCTGCTTTTAGGTGGAGACTAGGGATAATAAAATGCCCATTTGAAGGCCACGTATGCTTCAGTGTGCACCCCGCCCCCACCCCATAGGCTTACCCACCATAAAATAAAGATGCAAAAGCCTGACAGCTTGTTTCCACAGTGTCTTTAAATGAGCATCTCAGTCACCTTTCTCCTTGTTGAGACGATACCAGACACCCTCGAGTTCAGGAGGAAGGGCTTATTTTAGCTTACGGTCTAGAGGTTGCAGTGCATGGTTGGCTGCAGAGGAGCAGTAGTCTGGTGGGGCAGGAAGGAAGCTGCGGAGCAGGAAGCAGCAGGCCGCTTTTTCCCTTTAATCCTGTCCTGGCTACACCCCTTTGGGGGGTGCTGCCCACCCCAGGGTGGGGCTTCTCCACACCCAGAGCTGTGGTAAGCCAGCTACTAATACATCACAGCAAGCCCCTAATCCCAGCGTCACACGCTCCATCTAAAGTCACTACACCCTGGATCCAGCCACCTCTGAGAAGCCCCACGCAAGACCACGTGAGACCTTGAGGGAGCGTTGAGATGGAAGCCCTACCAGCTAGCAGTACCGTGTCTCAGCCTTCAACCTGCCCAGTGTCCCGCTACATAAAAGTGCCTGCCAGTTAGCAAACCTGCTGGAAGAATCACTGTCCAGAAGTGTGGTGGGCCCTTCGTTTCCGCGTGGAGGGTTTGCTTGCCTTGTGCCTGCCTTTTGGAATGTGACTTTCAAGCCCAGACTGTGTGCTGATGTTGGCACGGTGCCAGCAGTGCAGTGCACGTGTTTACCAGAATGAGCTGTATTTACCTGCGAGTGAGTGGAGCCGGATGGATGTTAGGGTTCCTTTTACAGCAGAAATGGAGACGAGCTTATCCGAGTTCCTGTGACCCCTTATGATTAGTTCATTGAGCTTGGTATTCTTAGAAGGAGACATAGTTGAATGTATTGTAATGAATTAGCCCTTAAATGTGTAGGTGTAAGATGGACCTTCAGCAGGCCTTTGCAGTGGTTATGAGTTAGGTTGGATCTCTGTGCAGCAAAGTAGCAGCCCGTTTCTAGTTCCCACTCAGCCTTCCTAGCGTGTCTTACCGATGCGGTGACACCTCACCTCACAGACTTAGTTCTTCCCATGATTCCCGCTGCAGCCGGAATTGTGGAAAACCTTTAGTTCCTGATCCAGGGTGCCGGCGCCAACCCCACGCAGGCCGCATCTGCTGTCTTAGCACATTACCACCTACTGTACTTCTTCAGTCTATCCATATAATTGTAATGAGTAATCCGTAGAACTGTATTGAGTTCCAATCCTGACTTGGTAATTCTCATTCAAAATTATTCTGGTATCTAGCCGGACGCACTACTTTGCTTCACTTACACAATACTGACCTCTACAGATGCAGTGTTGTAAGTTCACCAAGAGGAAAAACCATTTTTGACACTTGTGGAGAATTTTTGGCTTTTACTGTCATCATTTTTTACTTGTATTATCAGTAATTTCAAAGTTATATGAATACTATGTGCTCCCCTTAGATTTAATAGTCAGTATACTGCTGAATTTCTTGGTTTGTTCTACCTGGTCACGTTAAGGAAAGCTTTAAGGATCGTGCACTGTAACCGGAGGCTGCCTGCGCGTCTGTGGGGGCTTCTCTGTACAGAGCAGCCCGATGGAAGCCACCAGGGTGCCCTAGCACGTGTCTAGGAGTCAGACTGCGCGGCGCTCTGAGAGCAGATTGTCAGCGGCCAGCGACCTCACACCAAGAGCTAGTCAGTGATATTCTTTTGTTCAAGTTGCTAGGTTTAATTTTCTTTTTCAAAATGTATTTAGTACAGGGTTTTTTTGTACTCACTGCACAGATCGGATTTGTACTGATCCGCCTGTCTTCAGCCTCCCAAGCGCTGGGATTTATGGGTGCGGGCCACCACGCCCAGTCTCAATGGCTACCTCAGTGCACCCCGGGGGCGGGGCCGGCAGGAACCCCAGTCCCTGTGCTTTAATCCGCTGAGCTGTCTGGCTGGCCCTATGTTTAATTTTCTTAAGCTAGAACAACTCCTCTTCCTATGTACCCCTGTAACATTGACATGAGACCAGCCCCTGTCTTCTTTCGTCTTTTCGGGAATTAGCCCATCAGTCTCTAAGGGTGTCCTTAACTTACTTTTACATCATTTAATGTGACAGCATCTCTTGCTCACTCTTAATGATGCTCGGATGGTTCAAATGATCGTGACTGGAACTCTGAAGTATAAAATTATTTTTATTTTCTTGCTATCAGCAGATAACCTGGAGAGAGATTTTGGCATCAGTTGAAATCTGTTTTCTATTAAACTGTTCATAATAGTTTTGACATCTATGAAGAATATTGCAAAACAAGATTTTTTAAATCTCTTGTCTTTTCTGTGTATGTTGGTCTTTTTCCATCAACTGGACTTATTGGGAAATACATTTTCTTTTAGAAATGCAGGATAAATTAAACATTTTTTTCCTTAATGTATCAGTTTTCAGAGTAAGCAATTATTGCAGACTACTTCCAAATAGGAAAAGAAATTTTATTGGATGAGAAGGAACAGGCTTTCTCTTAAAAAAAAAAAAATTTATATATATCTCATGAACTAGGTTCAGTATGGTTTAGAAACTGTAATTACTACTTTTAAGTTAAATGTGTTCTCACTAGTGATTATTATCATCTTTTCTGTTATAGTGTTAGGTGGTCCTTTTCTTTAGACAGGTCTGCTAGTTCTCTGCTAAGAGCAATTCAGCTCATTTCAGCTGTGTTTTCGCCAGCCATCCCATTTTAGTCATATGTGTATGACCAGTATATATATAAGAATATATATATATATATATATATATATGTATATATATATTTATTTTGTTCTTCACTTTTAAACTCTGCTATTCAGCCCATCACACTTGTATGTTGTCCTTTGACTCTCAGCAATGAGCTGTGCGGTGACAGTTACACACCTTTTTTCTCGCATGTTATTCCTGTCTTTCTTGTCCTTTCAGATATGTCATTACATTTGTTCAGTCTTAGCCAGTAGCGCTTTTGCTAAAAGCTTCCCGGAAGTCATCCCTTCAGAACTTCTGAGGCGCTCTCAAACCCTATGTGATCTCAGCTAATTACAGCTGCAAAAACTGCTTCCAAGTAAAGTCACAGTTGAAAGTTCCCAGGGGACATGGGTTTTGGCAGGACACTATACTGTACATGCCTTTTAATTTGTAGAAACTAGAACTGCAGGGTTCATCTAAGTGTGCTGACTGTTGTTGGTGCAAAGTGCGATGCTGTGCTGACCTACTCCTCCGTAGGAGGCTTCTGCTTGTAGTAAATACCAAAGAACTTTACTTAAAATCTATTGACATTCTAAATAGATTTCTAGGTATTTAGAATGCTGATAATATAGGGATTTTGGTCTTTATTTCAGGGACATTTTATGGAAAGTTGTAAAGATTTCATAGTTAGCCACGCGCATAAATGTAGGCGGACAATATGCCATCGCAAATGCTTAGGTCAGCAGTCTAATTGGTGTAACTGAGCAGGTTATCTGGAGTGGTTTGATAGGCAGTGAAGAAAACTTACAAGCCAAGAAGAACATCCCAAGCCATGCCTAGGGTCCCCTGTCAAATGCTGCTCATTGTGAACTCTAACTCTCTTGCTTTGTATACTCCCTGATAAAGCAATGCAATGCTAATTCATCTGCCTTTTTATTTTCTGCTTATAAAGTTACTTAGGAAATTGAGCCAATATGCAAGTAAATGAAACCATGAGTATATGAGAAGTGGCTAAGATACAGGACAAAAATCAGCTTTGAAGTTTGAGTTGCCCATGAGTGTTAAGGTTGTCTCACACGGGGCCGGGGAGGTGGCTCAGTGGAATAAGCGCTTCCCTGGCAAGCGCAAGGGTATGATTTCAATCCCCATTCCACCAAAAGGGAAAAAAGGTCTCACAGGTAGGTTCCCCAAGAGCCAGCCTAAGCGTTCGTGCGTTAGGTGTCCATGGGCCTGTGTTCCCTGGGTCAGCGCTTTCAGGGACGAAGGGCGTGTGGAACATGCGGGGAGCAGTTGGATTGCAACACGGTCTAGAGAGAGGCCCAGCCACGCCCAGGGCGGCTGAAGCATCGCAGTGCTTAAGCCAGCTGCTTAATGGCTTTCCTCTGACTGCAGAAGTACATGGCGTTTTTTCTTTTTTTTTTAATGTGTTGTCTGGTTAGCTGTTTTTAAAAAATGTTCCATTTGTGGGAAGAAAGAATAAAGCATTGTCCTGTGGGGGAAAATACAGATAATCTGTAAAAGAATACACTTTCTTCAGTCACTTGGTACTGTGAGTTCTGAAGATTGTAACTTTTTTTAAAGCTTCAGCACAATTAAGATATCTTTGCTTTCCAGCATGGGCAATGGTAGATGGTGGATCGAATGTGAAGCCCCGCTCCTCTTACAACGAGAAGACTCCAAGGATCATTGTGTCTCGCTCCCATTCAGGCATGGTCAAGCAGGTTGCTCTTCAGACCTTTGGAAACCAGACTACAATCATCCCGGCTGGTGGTGCTGGTATGTTCGTTCTCACTTGAGATTCCAGCGTGTTTCCAGCATGGCAGCCTGTGTCAGGAGGCCGATGTTTGATCCAGGCCTGGCTAAAGTGAGAAAGAACAGTGTGCCAGATTCAGTCTCTAACTTGATAATTGCTAGGGCACGATTTTAGTTATGTGCCGAGCCAAAAAGAAAACCTCCTGGCAGTGACTTCTCGTTCCCAAACGCTACACGGCTGCCTTTGCATCAGTTGTGAACCTTCAGCGGTTGCTTCTTACATGTTCTGGCTTCAAAATAATTGTCCCTGAGCTTATGAGGGGCGGATGAAAAGTGGAGCCCAGGGGTGGTTCAGGTAGCAGAAGGAGTCCAGGAGTCACCCTAGCCGTTGCCCTGTGCATCGCAGGTAGCAGCAGTTACGTTCCCGCCCAGCGTACTGTGTATCACCTGGCTGTGGCCCAGAGGTTAGCCCACTTTTTCTGAAAAAGGCCTGATAGTAAATGTTTCAGGTTTTGGGAGCCGTACACAGTCTTCATTGCATACTGGTCTTTGATTTTTAAATCACCTTTGGAAGAGATTTTCGTAAAACATCTTAGTTTGGGGCATTACAAAGATCATGATCTGTGTTAGACAGAGTATTTGGCTTGAGGGGCCACTCCTGTTAGGAGTTCTGGTTAACATTTCAGAAGCTAATTTAGGTAAGTAGTAAATTGTATTTAGAAACCCTTCACGTTGGCTGTCTTTCTAATACAGAAATAGAAGAAGTAATTCTTGCTTGCTTTCAGGCTTACAGTAATTTCAGTTTGCTGATCACGCATACTGCCCTCCTTCACATTTATGTACACGTTCTTTGAGGTTTGCTTACATGTTCTGTTCACTTTTTATTCCTTAGGTTTGTCCTTTTCACAGAAAGGCTGTAAGTGGTCATGTTAATTTGGGCTCTTTAGTTCAGGCCTTCCCATGTTGACCAGAACGTGTCGGCATTGAGCTTCCGCGCCATGGCCCACGGCTGGTGCGTGCTGCTGTGTCACTCTGTACAAAGCAGCCTTCATGAAGGCTTTAAAAAGTAACAGGCATATGTCTGGTTGTGCATATTTTTGCTACATTGAGTTTACTATTTGCATTGCTGTGTGTAAAATATTTGAAAACAATTTTAGACACTGCATGTATTTTATAAGGACAGTACAGTGAGTGCCTGAACCCACTGTCCTATTCTTTTCAACCCTGTTTAATAAAAAATTTTCTCTGCTTTCTTAAAATCCTTTGAGCAATAATCTGAAGTCTTTATCTTTCAGGTTACAAAGTTTTGGCACTCCTAGATGTGCTTGACAAGAGCCAAGAAAAAGCTGACCTGTACATCCACGTGACGTACATTAAGAAGTGGGACATATGCGCTGGCAATGCCATCTTGAGAGCCCTCGGGGGACACATGACCACCCTGAGTGGGGAAGAGATCAGCTACACTGGGTCGGACGGCGTCGCAGGCGGGCTCCTTGCTAGTATCCGCATGAACCACCAGGCTCTGGTCCGAAAACTCCCGAATCTAGAAAAGACAGGACATAAATAGGCGTAACTGCTGACAGGGTGCGGCGTCAGACCTGCAGTGGGGGACGGGAGCGTGGCTGCTCCCGGACGATGGGGACTGCGCGTGGCCAAGGCCACCGCAGACTGCCCAGAAGTGTTCGTGAAACAGCGGAGACTATTTTCCCTGTAGCAGGACGCCAGGTCAGGGAAGAGGGGCTGCTGCGTGTCTCAAGTATTGTCTTCATTTTTGAGACTATTTTCGTACAGTTGTCATACACAAGGCGCATATATATATTTGTGAATTAGACCCTGTAGCTGAGTCTCCACTGTTACATGAGTCACCATTTTCACAGGTCATGAATCTGCACCGTTTGTTCAGATTTTCATATAGAACTGAGTTGAAAGAAGGATTGGTTTAGTGTATATGTTTAATTTAATTTTACGGTTGTGTTCCATTGAAAAAGTAATTGGGGACTTTTACTCCTAATTCAGATAGAAAGCACAAAAAGCCACACATTCATTAATATGCAACAAATGCTGTGTTCATGTTACTCAGTGTTTCTATGGATTAAACTAAAAAAAGCTTAAATTGATTTTTTTTTTTACATTTCAATAACAGGTTCGCCAGCTAGTAGAAAATATAGACAAATGGATGTTCTCATTGTATTTGTAATGTTCACTGTGTGTGTTGTGTTTTGTTTTTATAAAAAAGAAAAAAAAAGCGTGTGCGCTCATAGGTTCTCCTCCAGGCCGCCTCCTGCCGTCCGGAGGCTCCGTCCTGCCCTCCGGCCCAGCGTTGACTCCTAGCGCACACCGTCTGCTTTTAGGGTCCCACGTTAGCACTCGCAGCTTGGTACGTCTCTCATTAGGGGTAGAACACGCTGTGAGGTCCCGCAAGACTAGAAATGACTCTGTGATGGTTGAAAATTACTTGATGTAACATGGTTTGAATTAGTTTTCATTATTTTTAGGAACTTTGTTTTACTAAGTTTAAAAAGATTTTCTAGGTTTGTATATAGAGATTCTCTCAACGTTGAGTGACTGTGATTGCTTTTGCCATGGTTGCTTTTACTATTAATAACTATACCTAACCTAAGCAAGCTCTCAAGGTAGTAGTTAGAGACATTCTGTAGTTTCGCATCAGGTTACAATAATAAAAATTAAAGTTATTTTCTTTTTCTTTTATTTTTGTGGTGCTGGGACTAGAACTCAAGGAGTCCCTGTTGGTGGCAAGTGCGTGGCCGCTGCGTGCAGCCGCGACAGGCCCAGAGCTGCTTTTTCTGAGCCGGCTTTCTGTAGTCAGGCAGCAGAAATGGGCGGGAGAGGGGTGGCGTACCCCTTGTGCGGCTGCGGCTGCGGCCTCCCTGGCCCCGCTGCGCCGTGGCATTCTTGGTCTGCAGTCTAGGACCTTCATGGGAACGAACGCTGCTCCTACTTCTGGGGGGCCTCAGCGCCTCTGTGTTCTCTGACTCCCATAAATAGAGACGTTTCTCAAGGTTTCTTTCTTTTTTCCTTTTGAAGTTTTTAGCCCTAAATCAGCTTTTTCTGTTCTTTGAGATAAATTGAACGAAGAATGTACAACTAGCCTGGTAGAAACGCATGCGTGAGTCTGCCCGCTGCCGTCGCCGGCCCTTCACCCCGCAGTAGCGCGTGGGTCCAGTGTGCCCGGGCAGCCTGCCACTGGCACCTCCCACACGCTTGCACTGGGCGGCGCCGTTCAGGGGAAGTCCCCGTAAAGTCCCAGTAGTGAGCACACTTGGCATTTACAGGAGGACTTGAGAATTTTGAAGAGAGTATCGGAGACCTCATCGTTTTGCTTCAAAACCCTTTTTCTCAGGAAAGAAGACAAAGGCATATACTGTTACCAAAACGCTGTAGTATCGGCATTTGTTTTAGTGGACAAAGGGAAGTGGAGCTGAAGAGGTGGAATTTGTTAGAGTTTAAAAGTACTGCGAGGAAGCACGGTGACGTGCAAGTGGGGCTGCTTCAGTTCACTTCCAAGGAAGTGTTGCTTTGTCAGAACAGCTGTGACTTCTGGAGTTTTCATAACTGAGGATGTGAAGGAGGTGTGTTTTATGCCAAAATCAAGATACTGGCTGAGAGCTAAATACATTATTTTTATAATTTGGAGGTATAGTCTAGTTACTAATTATTTGTAAGTAATTTTATAAAAAGTTCATTTTTAAAACTTTATTTCTAAGAGCCATTCTACATTACAAGGAGCAGTATTTATATTTATTTATAGGAGGCATGCCTTTGCCAGAACGAGGACGAAACCCCGCCCACGCGAGGCCGTGCTGCCTCTGGAAGTGCATAGTTCTTTTTAAAGCGTACCGTGTGTGCAGTTTGCCTTTAGTGCTGCCCCTCCCGGGTTCCTGCTCTTCCTCTCATCTTTGGCTCTGTGTAGAGGGTATCTTTCCCTTAAAGCTGAACCCCGTGTGTCGTAGCAGAAGCGTGAAGCCAGCAGCCCCCACGGCCCTGGCCCGGCCCCGGTTCTTCTTGGCCTTCCTCCTGCCTCTCCTGCCTGTTTCGGTTCCTGCGTGGCCCGCTTCGCCCCTTCCTTGCACACCTCCGTTCACCCCAATTTCTGGCATGTAGTCGCTCCCTCTAGGTTGGCTGCTGAACTCCATGCAGCTGGGAAGCCCCCACGAGTGGGGTCACCCTGCTGCAAGCCGAGCCAGCCTCTGCCCTTTGGAGGCGCTGCAGACAGTAAGGGATGATCACCCTTAAGCCCCAAGCTCTCGAGGCGTCAGGGCTAATCCCCTGAAATCCTGCAGGAAGAATTTCTCCTGCCCATCTCTCAAGAACGTAAGCGTGGAGAACGGGAAGGAGCTGCTCGGATAAGCCTGCTGGCGGAGACCTTTGCTGGGGCTTTCCTCCCTTCCCCCCTTCTCAGCTGAGGTACAAGTACGCACAGTGGCAGCGCTGTGCCATCTACAGCACTCTGCCACTGCCACCAGTGCAGTGATTCTTGGTTTTCTTTATCGGTCAGCTGTCCCTGAGGTGTCTCGAGATAGCAGGAGCATCGTGGTCTACTTTAGGCACCCGTGTGCAAGCTGCTGCTGCTCGCTGGGCACTCGCTGCCTTGGAGGGCTGTGCAAATGCCCGGAGTGGGGCGGAGGAGGTGAGGGGTGAGGGAGGATGGCGCCGGAGGGAGAGAGCGGCACGCCCGCGCCCGCAGCTCAGGCCCTTTCTCAGATGCTGCCTTCAGTGTGGGCTTCACGTGGCAGTTCTCTCTAGTGCCCCGAGTGCACATAGGGAAGATGGCATGCCTCTGCAGAGGGGAGGTGCTCGGCCTCCCTCTAGGACACCGCGTGACGGTACTGAACTGCCCTGGGCCGCTCGGCAGGTTCCAGCAGCAGCGAGCTGAGGAGTTAGCTGCAACAACTGTTGAGGCTGTGTGACGACTGCTTTTAGAGAGAAACGTGATTTTTAGTATTAGATCTTGGAATTTGAGTTGTATTTGATTAAATGCCCATAAAAAGGCTGTCGTGCAACTCTCGTGTAAAGTAAACGTAATCTATGGCTCCATTTTTATCCTAAAAAAAAAAGCTGTGCCTTAGTATTAGGGCATTGTATGTTAATAAGGAAAAACAAAACCTTTTTTAATAAGCGGGGGAAAATAGGAACTTTGGCCATTAAAATTTAAGTTCTGTGGTTTTAATATTAAAGTTGAGGAAACTTCATTGAAATTAAGACTGATATGAAATTATTTTTGCATAATGTAACATTTACAACTAAAGTACATTTTTATAAGCTGGCATCTAGGTGTATATAGCTCTGCAATGATATTTCATCTTTTGATTTTTAATTTAAGATAATATAAGATGAGGGTAGATAACATTCTTATGAAGTTTGCTTTTAAATAAACCATTTCAGTGTGCTGGTATATCTGTCCTACTCCCCTAAAGTCATTTTGATTTTTAAAAAGTTCTGTATTCGTGATACCATGTCAGTTACTTGTTAGTGTTAATACAGTAGGCTTTGTGACGTAACAGTTTCTAAGGAGAGAGAATCCTATCAGCTGTTACTGAGAGGGGAAGAGTCAGATTCTGTTCTTGAAAGGATTCTTGGTTTTGTTAGGTGCTGGTAATGTAACATCTTTCCCTTTCACCAAAGCCTGGCTGGTATATGCATTCCAATTTACTGTTAGTAAAGCTCTTTTTTAAAAAAAATTTAAATCGATTTGTGGTGAATTAATTTTGTGGAAAATGCTTAGTTTTCCTTTGATATAATACAAGCCAAACTTTAAGAAGGATGATGAGTAATATTAGAAAATACTGTTATAGTGTTTGTAAGAGTTCCCTAATGTATCATTGCATATTAATGGAATTGGTGTAAAACTACGGAAGCAGAAACTGGCATTTGATTAATAGTACGTTCCAGTGTTTCTTTCTGAGATGTAATACACAAATGTTTATTCAGGCATGAGTTGCTCCTTCGGTGTTAAGCAGGAAGACATGCATACTGTTACCGTGCAGGTGGGTCACTTAGTGGTTCTGCGTCTCTCAGATCGCCTCACCCGGCCTTCGTGTCCGTTCGTGCAGCGCTCAGGAGGGAGCCCGTGTGGGCTTCCCGTCTTCACATGTGCTCTTCTAGCAGCAGCTCCTGCTGGCCCAGTCCAGCAAGAGCCCGCCCTCTGTCATGATGGACAGCAACATTGCCAGGGCTGTGCTGGCTTCCAGTGTTGACTTGAACACACGCCTGCAGTGTGTGTGTATACGCAGGGCTGGGTTGACGCTGACACTGTGTTGCCTGCCTGCCTGCCTGCCTGCCTGCCTGCCTGTGTCTGTGTCTCTTCCAGCCTTGTGCTTTGCCTTCCTCACTTCCTGTTAATCTATTTCTTAAATTGGATCAACAATAATGACAGAAATTTTTAAGCTTTCCCTGTGAGTTCTCTGTCCCCACCACACCTTTAGAGCCCCGGAGGAGCTGTATACACTGTTTGCTTGTGTTTGCCACCACTACGCTGTGACCTGTTAAATCTGCATCACCAGATCTTGTGTTTCTGTGTCCACCCTTTCCCAGGAAGTAAACTTCCCTCCATGGCTTTGGTGCCTTTATTTTTCTTTGTGTCTCACTTAACAGCCCTGTTTTATGTGCATTGTTACTGGATTGTACACTTCAGTAGCGAGGCTGCACCTTGGTGACCTTAGGTTTTCTCAGCTCCAGCCCAGCCCAGTGGCTTGCACAAATAGGTGCTTAGTGTAGCGCTCAGTCCACCTAGAGGTTGCTACTTAGAGTTGCCATGTTCCACCCTTCATCTGTTACTAGCTGCTTGTTTCTTTTGCAAGTATTTATGATTCTCACCTCCTTCACACAAGTTTTTTTTTTTAAGTTTTGCTTTTCCTCAGATACTGTGCTGTAACCACTAAACTAGGAAGTGTGATTGCTCCTGAGGACCTAGTTGTTCCCACTGTGCCCCTGGATATACTTTGCCAAATGAAATTTGAATTGTCTGAATAAATCGCATATGTCTGAAAAGGTGTGCTGATCTGCTCTTCTCTCCCTTGCGATAAAACCCAGGTGGATCATTTTGAAATGAACAGCTTATCGGCCTTGAGCACGTGAACGGTGCTGCGCAGTCCTGCCACCAGCCCGGCGGCGCTCAGGACAGTGCAGCTGCCCTGCTCCCTCGCGCCAGGCCCTGGGCTCCCTGCTCCCTCCCTCCAGGCCCTGGGCTCCCTGCTCCCTCCCGCCAGGCCCTGGGCTCCCTGCTCCCTCGAGCCAGGCCCTGGGCTCCCTGCTCCCTCCCTCCAGGCCCTGGGCTCCCTGCTCCCTCCCGCCAGGCCCTGGGCTCCCTGCTTCCCTTCGTCTCTGGATACCCGTGAGCACCTGCTTTTGAACTCCCAGTGTGAAGGTCCTGTCTCCTCGTTGGAAAATGAATGTGAGCAGCAGAACTGGTGACTTTATCCAGCTTTTTAGAGTGAGGCGGAGGGAAAAAGTACAAAGGAAATGCAGAAACAAAAGCGTGGAGCTCCTGCTGGGCTCTGGTGCAGGCCTGGGGATGAAAGTGAGAAGCTCCCGCTGGGCTCCTGTTTAGGCCTTGGGGAGTGAAAGCTTGCGGCTCTGCCGGGCTCTGGTGCAAGCGTGGAGGGCAGGCAGGCGGCCTGGAAGGAGCTGTGCTCAGCTCAGCCGCATGAGCAGGGCATTCTCCACGCAGCTTGTGCAGGGCTGCTGGAAAGCGGTCGTGCTCTAATGAAGCAGGGCCCTCACGATGTTCCTCCAGGGTCTTCATTACTTTCTTGTGGCTGAGAATACCCGGTGCCCGAGATGTGCAGGAGGCGAGGTTTACTTTGGTTCGCGTTTCCAGCTCCAGAGCAGAGCACTGTGGCAGAGGCCAAGGCGCTGTGCACCCCAGGCTGTCCGGAAGTGGGTGCGGGGCAGGACGGTGGGGAGGGGTCGACGGCGCCGTCCAGGTTTCCCCGCTGGCTTCCCGCCACGCCCTGGCCTGCTGCGTTCATCTGCAGCACCCCCACCCCCGGCCGGCGCTTCGGGCACGCCTGCTCTTTGCCGTTCTCCACCAGGTGAGCTGCTGCCCTCTGCCGTGTGCCGCTCCGCCTGAGAGCCAGCCAAGTGCGCGCTGAAGCCTCCAGACGGTGTGCCAAATAAATTTCGTCCTTCGTTTTGGGCATCAGGCACAACTTTTCTGAAAGTCTGTTGCCTTTCCTAAGGCGGTCTTGAAGCACTTCTCAACTTTGCAGACTAGCATTTTCTCCCTTAAAGCTGAGCGTGGCCCTGGCGGGGTGCGGGGAGTGGGGCTGGCTGTCCCGAGAGCAGGCCTCTGGCGTTGGCCGCACTCCTTCCTAGCAGCACTCAGGGCGGTGAGGGCAAGCAAGGAGAAATCCCACCTAAGGCCACGCCTGCTCAGGGCTGGCCACACCCCGAGGTGAGGCCTTCAAGTTACCCAAGTCTGTCTCTCTTTTCTTGCTAGTACAAAATACCCGGCACCCAAAATGAAGGAAGGGTTTATTTAGCTCACAGTTAGTGGAGGTTTCAGCCCATACTCGACTGGCTCCAAGGCAGAGCGGCACATGCCAGGGGGCAGCAGCTCATGGGCCGGAAAACAGCAAGGAGCAAAGGGAGGGGCAGAGGCAGCAAGGGCACCAGAGAGCAGCCTGGCGCCCTTGTGTTGCCTTCAGGCTCTGCACCCCAGGCCGCGTGCAGCACTCCCCCCTAATCCCAGCACTGGATCGTGAATTAATCACCAGTTCTCAGAAGCTGCCCCTGACTGCCTGAGGCTTTGGGGGACAGCTAGACACAAACCATAGAGAAGTCCTGTGAAGTATTGGGCTCAGGAATACCAAAGTACACCACAGCCTCTGTATTTACCGTCAGCGTACAGCTCAGGAGCGGGGAGTAGGTGCGGGCTGCGCTTGCCTTTGGCTTTCTCTGGTGCTCTGGTGGCGGCTGGGGAGCTGAGCGCTGCCTTGTCTTCCTCCAGGCTCACGGGTCACCCGCATGGCCCTCGTATGGTGAGCTAGTTGGTGTGCTGGCCACATCCTGGTGTGGAGACCAACTTCCAGCCCATCACGAGACCTCCATCTCTGCCAGAGTGTGCAAGTCTGGCCTCTAGTACTAAGAGCAGCGTTTCCTTCAGGTGTCACAGTCACTTTTTTATCTCTGAGACACAACCTACACTGAGCACAACCTGCAGGCAGAGAGGTTTACCTAGACTTGGGTTTTAAATCCACAGTGGGCTGGCTGTGAGGTGGAAGCCACGGCGGAAGGGACCCAAGCACAGGAGAACATGCCTCATGGTGGCCAGGAGGCAGGAAGGGGGAAGAGCTGGGAGGGAGCTTTCCCTGCGAGGTCACCCTTCCCGCCCGAGCCCTGCTTCCCAACAGCAAGTGGCTTATGGAGCCCGGAAGCAGCCACCTTTCCCAAGGCGAGATTGTGCAAATCGCCCAGTGCCAGGAAGAGTCAAGATGGGAAGAGTCGAGGCTGCTACGAGAGACCCAGAAGAGCAGCAGAAACTCAGTAGGAACTGAGTCAGGTACGTGTAGGGTGTGCTCACAGGTGCGGGGTAGACTGTGTGCACCTCACCTCGACCCTGCACAGAGAAGGGCCAAAGGAAAGTCCCGCTTAGAGATGCTCTTCCACGAGGGGGCCCTGTGACCCTGGGCCTTCTCCAACTGCCCACTGCGCACGCTTACCTGCCTGGAGTTTTGCTCTTGTGGTTACCTCCTGAGAACTGCCTTTCCCTTTTTATTGCATGGACCTCGTTTTCTGATTTTCCTCCTGCCTCCGAATTCTGCTGGCTACGTGGTATTATCCATCCGTTCAGTACTTCTAATTGTAGACATTTTATTCCCAGACCTCTATTTATAGTATTCGCCATATTCTCCCAGCGTACTTTGACCCTAAATTTTCCTTGTAACTCTGCACTAGATCATGGATTTGGTTTTGAAAATTTAGATCTGTTGTCACAGAAAACACAGTGGAGGGGCAATCATAGGAGCTTATGCGGCCCTACCTCGTCCTGGGACTTTGGAGCTCTCCACTCACTTTTCATCCCCCAAGTCGTGCAGCACACTTCCAAGCCACCAGACCACTCCAGCTTACCCTGCCTTCTCACTAGCATGTTCTAGAGAGCATGTTGTCACTGCGACTTCCCTCCTGTGAGAACTGCAGGCGGTAAGGTGTGTGCCCCATCGCTGTTTGTCATGCTCCACCAAGTGGTCCCTTTGACGTTGGAAACAGAGTCATTCATGTCTTTAGACTCAAATTGATAAACTTTTCCTTGCAGTGCAGAACCAGACCACAGACTCCTAAGCTGCTGCCTCTGCAGCCCTTATTACCAAGTTCTGTATTGACTCATGGTCAGGCAAAGAAGCGGAACCACTGTGCGTGTGTGCATGTGAGCTCAGGGTCTCGTTAGAGGAACTGGACTCATGCGACTGTGCATGTCAGCAAAGAGGTCTTTTTGAAGCACTTGGCGCTGTGGTAAGGCTGGGTAGGGGACTGAGCCCCGCTTGGGGGCACAAGCACTGAAGACTGAGAAAGCCCACAGCATCGTCAGTATCTATTACTTGAAACCTCTAGAACAAGAAGGATCGTAGGAGCAGCTAACTTGCTAGCTTGGGAAGAAGGTAAATGTTCTGCAGAGTTAGTACAGCAGTGGCCTGGGGAACTTTAACTGGTTTAGAAGTGGTTAAAGGCAGCTCTCTAGTTTTCGGAGGAATGAATGCGCAAAGAAAATAGGGCATAGAGAGGAATGGGGGGCTACTTGGCTGTGAACAAAGGCGTATTTGGACCACGTGCAGGAACACAGGTGGGTCTCGGTGCCATGATGCCAAGCACAGTAACTAGACCAGGAGGCGCAGTACCACACTGTCTCTAACAGAGGACAGTCAGATGTGATCGAAAGAGCAAAATCAAATGTAAATGAGAGAAAACAAAGCTCTAGGCTAAAGGAAGATAGGAAAGAGACCCTAGAAGACAGGGAGAGGGGAGGGAGGAGGGAGGAGGGAGAAGAACAGATTGTCAACACATGAGGTAGACGGACCTGTTCCCGAGGTGAGTGCAATCATTATGTATCACAAACATAAACTAAATTTTTAAAAGATGGTTCTCTAAGGAGAGACTGTTCTTGTGACTGGCCAGCTGTTATTTGGAAAAACTTGATTTTATTGACCAGCAAGGTGACACATCCAGGAACCACAGAGGACAGCGCTGTTTTCAGCATGTGGGGGGCCAGTGAAGGAGCCCTTCTTCGGCCCCTGAAAAGTCCATTCCTTCCCCAAGGGCAAGGGTCCGTGCACCTTCGTACTCACAGTGGCTAACAGAGTGCTTGACCCAGAGGAGGGCTTTGGGCGTGCTTACTGACACGAGCCAACGTGAGACGGAAGATGAAGCTGCTGGAGAAAGGAGGGGAGAGGAGGCTGCTGGCTGAGCCCGGAAGAAGGAAAAGGTTTGTGGAGGAGGAGGAGGAGAAGGACTTACAGTATAAAGAAAGACCAGCGGGAGTTATGCCACAGCTTTTGCATCTGTACCTCTCAGGGAATTAAGAGTAGAGTGAAACATCTCAGGGACGCTGGAAACAATGGGATTTAAGTGCTGGAGAGGAAAAGCTGTCCCTGGGAAGTAGGCTCTGCAAGTTATGTGCAGAAGGTCGTGGTGTTCTGCTTGGAAACCCACGCTGTAAACCTTCTTCCCAGGCAACAGCGTCCTGCAAGGAGCTCTTACGGCCTGCAGGTACTAACATGGTTCGTCTTCATGCCAAATGATCAGTCTTCGTGCAGACCAAAGAGTATCAGTGGTGCAGGCAGGCAGGCGTGGTATTCCTAACCAGGAATCTGTTACACACTAATACACATTATACTTGAGCTCAATTTAATACATCATGTTTCCCATCGCCTTATCTCCGCACCTGCTGACCCCAGGAGTAAATGCTAGCACCGACGTGGACACTGGCCTGTGGCTTGGCGCACACTCTGGCTGCCAGGCTCTGGGCTCCGTGTCCTTCTTTTTAAATTAATTTTATTGAGAAAGAAATAGCAAGGAGACAGTTTCAAAACAGGTTAGTAGGACAGTTACAATAATGAATACATTGCATATTGTCTTCAGAGTAGTCATTGAGAGGACAAGATGCAGACATGATGTCTTGTCTAAGCACTAAGTATAAGGGCTTCTCATTGAACTAAGAGAAAGTAGCTTTTTATTTATTTTCTATATAGAGATATATTTTTTCACTACAAAATGGACCTTCATGTATATCCCCCTTTTTTGTTTAGTTTTGTCAGAGATGATTGCCTTTTAAATCTTGTAGGTGCATGGATTCAGCAAAATAAACCAATATAGTCCAGCGGCCCATAACAGTAGTGGGTTATCTGCAGAACTGGTGATGTCCTACAGCCTTGGCCCCGTGCCTGCTCCAGTGGACTAGGCACCTGTCCTGTGTTCACCTCCCAACAGTGCCACCAAGCTGTGCCCAGGACTGTGGCATCATCAGTGATTCCCACAGAGCCCCGGGAGCCAGCCACTTCTGACAAGACCCTCAGCAGGCGGGCAGGCCTCTCCACAAGAGCTGTGGGGGTGCAACTCCGAAACGGGAAGGCTGGCTCTGGGCGCTCAGCCAGCGGTGTGCATTCCGTGCCCCTGACAATGAATCGGAGTCTGCGTGTTTACGGTTTTGCCTGCACACGGTCGAAGCAGAAGCTTTTATTTCAGTCTTTGCCATCGAGGTAATGACAGGAACCTTAGGCTCTTCGAATCTCACGCATCTCCAGTTGGGAAAACCATGATAAGAAGGAGACAGTGGTGACACTGAGAGGGGTCAGCAAGTCAAGGGTCCTGACGCAACGCCACGCACCCCCGGCAGGGGCTGCATGCTATGACCTCTGCCCAGTG